GGACTTTGTGAAACCTTGCTTTATCATCAGAACATTGAACATGAGGATCCAGCCCCAGAGTTGCATTTGTTTTCGTGAGAGGGAGACTGGCTGAGCAGGGCTGCAGTGAGGGCTGTTTGAACACTGAATCAGCCTAAGTGCAATAAGCTGTTTTCACCAGCAGCCATTTCCCCAGCATCACCTGCTCTGAGTTGCCAGGCTGTAGAGTCCTCAGGCTGGGTATTTCCAGAATTGTTTTCCTGAGGTCACCTCGTGTGTTGTTTTGTCGGGGTCAGACTTTCATGAGGACTAGTCAGCTAATGGATTGTCTAGTTTTAGGCTAGACTAGATTACCCATCATCACCATTCTCACCCTCTACAGTGTTACTGTGATTACGTCTTAGAAGTCACCATCGAAGCCAGGAGTATATGTCCCACTAGTGTGAAAAATGAGTCAGATTCCAGGTAGTCAACTTGAAGTAGATCTGCAGAGTCAGCATTTTTTTTTTTTTTTAGTAGATCTGCAGAGTCAGCATTTTTTTTTACCCTTTTTCAGGCTCTCTGGAAACTAGTGTGTATAACTGTAGGGCCTATTATTGCTATTTCATCCATCATAGAGAAAAGGAGCACTGACAACTAGAAAGGCTGGGTGAAGGTAATATGCAAGTTCCTTATGGTGCAGTGGTGTTTTTAGATGTTCAGTACAGATAGTTCTCAGCTGTGCTCACTATTGCACAAGCACCTTAGAAGCTTATTTAATTCATCTTAGTTTTAGCAACTATATCTGAAGGCAGGTATTTTCATGCTTTAAAAAATGCCAGAGGGCCGGCCCTGTGGCTTGGTGGTTAAGTGCGCGCGCTGCGATGCTGGTGGCCCGGGTTCGGATCCCGGGTGCGCATCGAGGCACCACTTCTCCGTTCATCCTGAGGCCGAGTCCCACATACAGCAACTAGAAGGATGTGCAGCTACGACACACAACTATCCACTGGGGCTTTGGGGGGAAAAATAAAATAAAAAAAATCTTTAAAAAAAAAAAAAAAATGCCAGAGGTAAAGAGCCAGAAGCTCTGTAATATAATTTGCCTTAGGAGAGATTACACTGTTCAAAGTGGTTCCCCAGGCATTCTGATTTGAAACGTTGAGAGCCTTCAAAGAGGAGAGAGGGTTTGTGACGTCATTGCAGGCGTTGTGATAAACTGTTAGCCCTCGCAGCTGCTAAATTCAACTTCTAGCCAAACCTGGTATTTTTACGATTTTTAGAAGACTATGTTAGTTATGTGATTAGTGTTTTCTTTCGATTCACTAACCAACCATAGACAATTGCTCTTCTTGTGGTTTCCAGGATGCTCAGACAAGGCAGGTGGCTTTTGTTTCCACGCTAGTAGTGAATCAGCACTGAAATGCAGTAAATATTAACCCTTTTTAATATTACTACTGTGATAAGATATATTTGAGGGTAGTTCATTATAATTGTACTGTAGGCTTTAATAACAACACCAAAACTCTTCTATT